GCCCATAAAAACATCGCCATGGGTGCATTTATTTACGTAACTAACATTTTATTGTCAAAGTTAACTCCGTACACAGAACTACTGGATAACTGGGGGGCTCTGCCCCTGCTTCGATTCGATAGCCACGCCCTCGGGCAGAATCTCAGTTTCAGCAGAAAGATTTTCTCGGGGCATATCCAGTAACTTCTGTCCTTCGTACATCAGCTCGCGGCTTCATTCATGCCAGCCACACGTCGAAAAACCTGTACCAGCTCCAACAGACTTTCATTCATTCTGGCCACACGCCGTTAATCTAACAAAAGCGTCACGACTTCCACCTCAGTACCACGGCTAATATTCGCAGGTTTTGTCACCTTTCTTCTATCACAATCGAATTCACTCCCGCCATAATCGATTCGTTTTATTACATCGTTGGCATATCCACTTACCCCATTATCAGAGTTAAGCATTGCCTCTATTATCGGCAAGGCAACCACCGCCAACACGTTTACATTTTTTATTGTACAAATAGAAGAGATAAATGATGATTCTGACCTCATCGCCCTGATGATGGAGGCAGCAAGGACCTCCGAAACGTTGCTAAACTTCTACCAGACTACACGGCGCTACAAGCCAGAAGACAGCCATCTTGGAAATACACTTGCCTCAATTTATTTTCGCCACGGTGGTCTAGCGGTTAGAACGCTGGCCTTGTAATCCTGGGGTCTCGGGTTCGATTCCCGGCGGTGCCCGAATTTATAACTTGTGTTGGGCAAGGCCGTGGTCTAGGCAACACGGAGTTTTCCTCCGGGGGCTTCCCCGGTTTCTCCGTGGCATCCCATTCACACAAAGAAGAAGGCAATGGCAAACCACTTCTGGATCATCTGCCAAGAACGTATATGAACAGGTCCCAGTCCGAGAAAAGGATGGAAGGATCCTGTTCATATGGACCTGTCGTCAGACAGAACACTAAATAATAAATAATCGGAACGTCCAGCAGTCGGGGAAAGTCTACGTCACTAAACCTTAAAAAATATTTTATATTAAGAATATTTTTATAGTTAATTTTTAATTCTCATTCAGAATATATGACACGAAAGTCGTTATTTTGGGCTCGTACCCCCGTACCCTGTCCCTGGCGATCTTAGTTTAGACTATTCGTTATACATACAAGTCACCGACACGCGAGAAGCCTGTGGCACGTACGTGGACTGGGGGAGGCCAAGAGTTGGAACGGTGAGCCCCAAGAGAGAAGAATCAACCAGGGGGGGTTGCTCGTTCTTTGTGGTTTGGAATTCCGCTTTACTGGGGCGAATACAAGAAAGGAGGAAGTGGAACTCGTTAGGGAGTCTCGCATTCTCCAGCACAGATTCCAACCCAGATTTCTCTTCAACACAATCAGCTGAGTCCGTAAGCACCCAAGAAAAACGCGACGCCAGTTAAACATTATACTTAGAAGATGAGAGTCTTGTGGGGTGTTGCGCCGTGCAATCTGGTAGAAACAGGGGTTTCGGAAGTGCTTACTGGCTCCATCGTCAGGGCGATTTCAAAATTCGCACCACCACGATGTTCTGCAAATTTTAGAATCGCCCTGACGATGGAGACAGTAAGCACCTCTGAAACGTAAACCAATTTCTATGAGTCACAATGTAACATCCCGGAAGAGTTATCTTCATATTCTCACTTAAATGAGACTAGGTTTCAAGTTTACTTTTCCCCATTCCTTGTCTCGTAGAATTTATTTTTTTATTTTTAGAGTCTTGAGCAGGAAATTTGTGTTGTGTGGCCTTAACAATTATTCGCAAGGTCCCCTCTCGACTTGAATGAACAGCAATTGCATTCTTTACGGCATCGTTAGATGACCTATTACGATGAGACTCCGACTTGGAGCCAGTATGGGGGCGGAGACTACAGGAAAATCTTCTGTCCCTACCGCAAATCGAATCCAGGTCCTCGAGCCGTGTATGATACGTAAAATAGAAACAATTTCTTCCACGTGCAGGTTATCAAAGCGATGAGCTGGCAGAGAGCGTATCTCCTGGTCATGGGAAAGCCTCGGGTTTAGTGCCTGGTATGCAGTATCAGACCAAGGTCACTGCAAAAATTGAGTTGCTCAACGCCTCGACAACAAAATAAATCTTTCTACGTCTGGTGTTTCGAACGGAAATTTTTTGCAAATTTCTCAAAGTGACACTAAAAGACATCACAATTGTATACAAAATTGAAAATAAAGACATATGACCCGAGTTTATAAACCGTACACTTTGAGACTGTCAAGAAAATATTATTTTTTGTTTTTCGTGTGAAACAAAAGTCTCTCTCTCACAGAACAGGGCATTGTGTCGATGTTCTTCTGGGTTGTGACGCCGTGTAGACTCGCAGGTAGATACCAAACATTTGGGAGAAACATGTCTCGATCCTCACAGCCGAATGAACCTCGTCTTACCAGACACCGTGTTTTCGAGGAGGGGGCGGGGGGGGGCGGAGGAGAAGACGACAAACAAACACATTTTAGTCTGAAAATCTCAGCGGAAGAGATCACCTGACAGACGGCAGGAAGCCATTAAAATGGAGCCACGGAGCACAGTCCCCCAGTAGCGAACTTCAATACGATATTGAACCTTTGACCTTAATGGATGGTGGGGAGTTTCTTAAACCTTCTGTATTACTGTCAATTGCTCACGAAATATCCTGCACTACGAGGTTAGTTACGTCTTGATCCTACATTTGAGTAACTTGCTTCGTATGTATTCGAAACTTGATTTCACATCATGTGAAGAACACAGATTGAGGGTGTTTCAGAACAGAGTTCAGAGAATATTTTAACCTAAAAGAGATGAAACAACAGAAGGCTGGAAAATAAATACATAATGTGAGGAGTTTCGTAATTTGTATTCTTCGCCCAGGATGATCAAATTAAGGAGGATGAAACGGGCAGGGCCTGTTACACGCATCGGTGAATATCGAAAAGGATACATGAAAAACAAGAAATGAAAAGGCCAGTCAGAATATTTATGCGTAGATGCAATAATAATATTAAAACGCATATACGCTTTGTTCCTTAGTCTTATATAAATATCAGTTCACTCAGCTTACTCTGAGAATCAACCAAATCGATAAATACAGAGTTACTGAATATCAACGCATGTAATATTTCTAATTAAGTCATTTTCCACTGGAGAAAATATGAGTCAGTCACATTTAGCCTCTGGTAAATCGTATGCCACTCACGAATCAATGCGGGAATGTTTTCTGTTACACCGTGTGGCTACAACTACACTTCATTCAAAGACAGCGCGAGAATCAGTTTAGTCTCGAAATGTAATGCACACAAAACGTGTTCCAAACAATTTTCTACTTCTGTTCCAAACAATTTTCGCTCTGTTAAATACTTCGTACGCTACGGGCGAAACGCAATAAGGCCTTCATGTAAAACATTTGTTACAGTTATCCGATATTAATTATAAAGGGAAGGTGTCCACAAATTTTAAGAAAATTCTCCAATATCAAACTTCACGAAAATTCGTACAGCTGTCCTCTAATTGTTATGTGCCGGACAGGTGAGACAGTGAAACTGTAGGCGCATGTAAACAACGCCTAGAACACTGCAGCAGACAAGATTTAATGCATTGGGAGATTAATTATAAGAGTGTACTGTCGGAATAGACAGCCACGGTGGTCTAGCGGTTAGAACGCTGGCCTCGGGTTCGATTCCCGGCGGGGCCCGAATTTATAACTTGTGTTGGGCAAGGCCGTGGTCTAGGCCACACGGAGTTTTCCTCCGGGGGCTTCCCCGGTTTCTCCACTCACACACAGAAGAAGGCAATGGCAAACCACTTCTGGATCATCTGCCAAGAACGTATATGAACAGGTCCCAGTCCGAGAAAAGGATGGAAGGATCCTGTTCATATGGACCTGTCGTCAGACAGAACACTAAATAAATAAAACTGTCGGAATGTTACTTACAACAGTGGAGCAGGCACAGGAGAAGAGCGGCGAAACAAAGGCGCCTGTCCGACATCACTGCGTTCAAACACGTCCACTCCGCTCTCCGCACGAGACATGAATGAAGTGGCGCTTGAATGAGAGAGCGGAGGAAAGGTAAGGCTCCAGAGGGGGAAGTGGACCTTGTACCCCACTTACCCTGTCACCGGTCTGTCAGGAAGACGTCAGGAACGCGAGACTGGACGTTTTACTATTTTTACATTTCTCGCTAGAGTATCGTGTAGAGCAGAGGTTAAATGCTGACTAATCTCATTTCGTATCGCACCTCTAGCTTTGGATCTGTAAGCGAATGACAAAAACAAAATTACTTCTTTCTAATTGTTAGAAATGACGTTTAACTGGCAGTATGTACCATACACAACTACCACTGACTGACTGACAAACATGCATGCATGGCGTTATAATGTACTGACGTGTAGGTACGTAAACAAACAAGATAATTATTCAAATCTGTTCATTCTGACAAATATCAATTTCATTCACATCGGTTACAACAGACATTCATTTACACTTCATATTTCTATATTTACTATATTAGTCATACCATTTAATAAACACTATTAGCTCACTGTCTGCCATTAGTCCATTTTCATCATTAAATGACCAACACATCTATTTCATTTATCACATCACCATACCAATTCCAGTTTCTTTTGTTAAAAGTATATGTATCTTCCAGGCTAACAAATAATATTTCTCGCTGTTGATGGTTTACTTCTGGGGGTACTTGTGGGTTATCGGGACACAAAACAGAGAGGCACTGCCCATCATCATCTGGATTCATATTTAGCTGTGTTCATGTGGCGTCATACAAATGATAACTGCGATATTTTTAAAACGATTTTAAAATCTATAAGCGAATTTTGGCCTCCGGAGACAGGTAGTAACAACAATTAACATCTCACGCATATCAAAATAAAATATAATAATTTGTCATTTATTGAAATAAAATATTATAACTTTCAGGTATGTGTCATTTATCCACACACATTAACCTAACGTAACCTAAGTTAACCTAACCTAACCTAACCTATTTTTAAAGCGATGTTTCCCGATAACTCACGAGTAACTTTCTGGGTTATGGTGTGGTTGATAAATGCCAACAATTTGGAGAAACTTACTGTCTCTCCAACAGAGTTTTTACTTGAAAGTTGATTGATTCCTCTTGGCAGGAAGCCCAGCAGTTCTGGCATACCACCCTGGGTTGCTGACAGTATCAGCCAACCCAGAAAACTATTCCTTAAAATAAGAAAGAACCAAAGTAGTACCAGTGGGTTCCTTGGACTACCTAAGCCTACGAAGGCCCAGGTCTGAAAGCAGTATCCTAGTTCAAAGGTTAATTCTCTCCATGAGACCTGGGATCTAACCAAGCAATTTTCATGAGAGTTATTGAATTGTCATAGTGAAACGGTAACTTTGTCATTCACCCCATTTACAAACATATGTTTCTCCACGATGTTGACATCTACAAACAAGTCTATATGGTGCCAAAACCCAGAATATTATCATCATTCTCACCACTGTGAAAACCTTAAATCACACGATATTACTTACTTCCCAGCATTAAGAAATAAAAATTGGTCCTACGAGATTTATCATGCGTCTTATCACCTTGGTGTGTAGCCAACTAACAGATTTAAAGAAGTAAGCTATTCTGCAATCACAAAACCCTAAGTCCTTTATTGTAGAACTTAGCTGTAAAAGAGAAAAGACACCTGAAGATTCAAATTCCATTATATGAGGATGCTCCCTTCAAATAAGATCTGGTCATATTTATAACAATAACAACATAGTAGTAGTTCTAACCTAAAATACAATCATGTACGCATTCAGAAATCAAGTTCCATCTAGAACTGAACAATTTTATATTATGGTACTCTAAATACAATTTCTAATGTGTATGTCACATAAAAAATATCCAAAAAATAACTGCATGTACATTATGAATTAAGTCTTCTTTTGACCACAATTAATCAGACTAATTTGAATTCAAAGGAATAGGTCAGAATAAATCTGAAGAAAAACACAATTCAGGCATAACCTCAATTCTGATACAATTCCACAAATATATTAAGAACATATATTTTACATGCCTCAGTTTTTAATAAGACTGGCCACATGTGGCCTTTGGACCACTGCTGTGTAGTTCTCACACTAAATGTTCCTTGTATCAGAGCAAACAAAACAATTTCGTTTGTCTCTTGGTCATATAACGAGTTACAGCAGAACCAGTCCGACACAGCACATAATATAATACTAATATTGTAACAAAAATGTCTAGCACAGAATCATCCTCTGATTTGTGACATGTTTTTGTAATAAACATAATAAATACAAAATTTAACTTACATAACATTCATACATCCATCTGCTGAATAAACTCTTGTACTCACTTTAGATTGATGGTAGCAGTTTCTCTTCAAATAAACATATGAATATCATGAAAGCATCAATTGTAGATATATATACATACATTATTTACTTGTACCTTCAATATTTTAATTTCAATTCTTGCAATGTACATACTTTAAAATACCTGTTTCTACGAACATCACTATTAATTTCATTTTCACCAGATAGAATATTAAACTGAAATGTAGTTCTTAACCTTTAATGCACATCATTCACTTATGAAATATGGGGATCCATGGAAATTAAGTCAACCTTCATAAAAATTGTAGTAATTTAATAATTATTTTGCAAAGTGCTATTATACTTTATAGTTTGGTTTTGTAAACTGTCTACAAAATGGAATGTTTTAAACTGTAACTTTCCAAACTGGTCTTTAGATCTTACCATTGAAACTAACTTATACACCCAAACCAGTGACATCTTATGGGAGTTGGCACTGAACCATTCTGACTTCTCCGACTTCAGGGATTTCCTTCAACAAAGGCAAGAAAAATACTTCGATGGACTGCCACTATCCTCATGAACTTTTGATTTTTTTTAATGTATAATTAAAAGTATACCATTTTGTACATTGAATTTTCAATAAAGATTTGATATTTCACATCATGCATTTAGTTTAATTTTTTTTAGTATTTATCTCCCTTTCACCCACACCCTGAAATAGCATAATACTGTATACAGCAGATTCCGGTTAACTGGGACACATCGGGACTAGGAACACTTTGGACCAATTATGCAAAGTTCCACATAAAGATACAAAAAAAAAAGGTTTGTTCTTTAAGATTTGTCCCAAATAATCGGCTGATTAACCGATGGCCCAATTAACCGGAATATACTGTATCATAATTCTCTACTAAATCAGCTAGGCAATAGGCACTGTAACATTTGATAAATAAGACACGCCCTGAAAATGTGAGAAAGGATGCCTAAAAAATGGCAGCCTACACAAACCAGAACAGAATATTTTTTCCTAGCACCGTTGATTTGGAATGAAGTTGTATATAAAAAAATGAATGTAAAGCCGTGCAGGTGTTTGGGGGAAAAGGCATACAACTGCTCCTCATTCTTAACCTTGGTGCTAGATAGGGGTGAGTGGTCAGTATCATGCCCAGGCTGTGCTTTACCCCTGGGACCCATTGGACAAAAGGCTGGATGGGTCTCACAGCCAGTCTGGATGCAGAGGCCGGAGGAAAAATCCTTTGCTTCTGTCGGGGATTGAACCCAGGTCATCCAGTCTCTATACTAACTGAGCTACCCCAGCTTCATTAATGAAAATATGTAACGTTTTATGAACTTTGTGAAAGTAGTCCCGAGTTGTCTGGAAATTCACTGTATATACACAGAGAGAAAGTTTATGGAAACAAATATCCCAATCAAATCATTATTTTAAGAACTGTCCTGAAACTAGCAATAAACTTCAAAGAACCGATTGACTCCTTGAATACCAGGTACATCCAACATAAAACCCAGTAGAAGATATTAAACCTCATCCCATGGTCCAGAATGCCAGAAAGCATTACGTTGCATCACAAGTCAAGATCAATCACCATACTGAACTGTCTGAATGGATCATAACCTCAACAACATGATGCATATAAGTTTCAATTGTGACCTTTGTAAACAAACTTAAACACTAAAATACTGCATTGTATCAATATTTCTGAAAAAGTAAGAAAACAGGACATGATGCACCACAGCAGAGGTTAATCACTGTTTGTGCCACAATGACTTACAATAGACTTCTGACTTTTGTATTAGTAAAATAAGTTACTTGCCTTGAAGTAAATGTCAGTAAACAGAGCCAGTTCATTCTTCCTGAGTTTACTGTCATGCCTGTTCTGCACAAGGGATATGAAAGACAGACCAAATAAAAGTGTAAAACGTTTAACACAAAACTTTGTACTGGTAAATGTTTTGAAGCCTACCACATCAAATTCAAGCTGAGATATGTTATCAACAGGTGTTGGCAGTGTCTGGAACCAGAAACCACTTAACCAAACAGGTATGTAACAGAAGAAATTCATTTTGCTTTTGTTTCCTGCAGCACACCACACAGTAAGCCCACTATGACCATGATATGTCTCAGTAGGTCATCATCCAGACCCACAATTTAAAAACCAGTGTATGGTTAGCAAGGCCTCTACAGGTAAAAACCAGAACTTGCCCCTGTAATTTACATGTGTTTAACAATTTATAACACATGGCAATGCACAGTACATAAGAATTAATTCACTTAGATACTTACAAATTTGAAAAACTTCAAACTAATTTGATACTAATACAAAGGAGCAGAATATATTATTGTGGAATTCCAGACTGACTAACACTTGTAACATTTTCACATTAATGTAATGAGCAACAAAAACCAGGGCATATTAAAAATGGAGAATTGTGACAGGTCTCACATGTAGACCCTGACACACCACAGATGAATCTGACTGCTGGAGGTGATGAACAGTGATTTTATAACACAAGGATGACTTCAAAAATCATGGACACATCCTGATACAAATAGTTCAAGGAAATGTGAAATTTCTCATACACTGACGACACTTTTCCTGAAGGTAAGAACTGTCCAAGAGTCAACAGAACCAAACATTTGCCTCCAACAAGTACTGTTGGTCCTTCTAGGGTCACTTTACAGTAATGCCACTCAGGATTTGATAGCGGCAGTCTTCTAGGTTGTTACACGGTGTAGTTTGTAGAAGTTTACTTATGTTTCAGAGGCACTTTTGAAATGGTGGCAAACTTATACCAGACTACATAGTATAACAACAACAAAGACAGCCACCTTCGTACTTGCCACAATGAGAACTTGAAATCTCATTCAGGATTTGTTGAACACTTTTATACCACTTGTAGAAAACTGACAAATATGTTCTCAAAATATATAACAAACATTTACACTGTGAAAACTGCCCTTACATAAATATTTGATTACCAATTTATACGTAAATATGCAAGTATAAGAATATGTTTAGCCAGAAGCTGGGTGCAATATGCCACTGGAACTTACCTGAACAGCAACAGATCTGCAGACAAGGCATTACTGTTATGAAGATTGACAAACCTTCACAGTGTTTTACAGGTACCCAAGAAATTAAACTTTTATCTACATTATAAATGAATTAAACTTAAAACACATTCACTGCAACTTCATGCATGTCACATGGTTCCTGCACAGACACCGATGACACGTGTCATTAGTCTCAGTGGTCCGTCTGAACTGACTGGCACTGCAATTTAGTTTCTTCTTGCTAAAGTGGCACTAATATTTAGGTTCAAGTTACATGAGCATGGACTGGTTCTTTTACTGGATGCAAAATATCTGTGAGCCTGACCAATGGCATA